AGTCCCGTGACAAAAGACCAAAAGACCATCCAAGAAGGCATGCAGGTCACACCTGTTTCATTTTCACAGCTGTAAAAATTTGATTTGTCACAAAGCTAGTTAATTATTTTGATCGTTGAATCTACACAGTCTAGTCAGAAGAGAAGAGAGTATTAAACCACGTCATTGATAAGCTTGGGATGTGTCTAAGTGAAAGAGTAGTTAGCTTGATGCATATTTTAGTCAAAACTGAGTGTCTGTGGCCTTTGCCAGATATTATTTCTATTCATGCACAGAAGAAATGTTTCTTCAACAATTTTAATTCAGAACTCCTTGAAGAAATGTAATTTTGGTGCTTTCCATAATCCTGATAAGGGTGGCTATTAAGGATTATTGTATAATGAGTGTCTCTGAAGCTCTCTGCATTAAGCATATCAGCATTAGCCAAAAAGGAAAAGGCTAATTTGGACAATAAACAACCCAAATAAACAGAATTTTATCTTTCTCTTTTTGTAAAAACGGTTATAGGTGATATTCTTAAACTTTTAAAGTGAAGTAGGAAAGTAGCAGCTAATTCGGAGAGCTCTCTGAAATCTGTATACAGTGCTTAGTGCTAAACTGGTTAGCAACACACTAGACTGTTTAACAAACCAACACCTAGGATATGATAAACAATTGAAGTTTGTGTAAGAACACATTACAAGATACTTGTAAAATTGTGTATGGATTTTGAAACAGTCCAAAAAATTATAGATGATATTTTTTAAAGCACTGATCATGCTTAGGTATTAATACAAAATAAGATCAGTAATATTGTTTTAGTTATATACATTTTAAAATGAGTGGAACTATAAAATGTACATATACATCCATGTTTAATGGCTGATGGATTACCCAGTTTGTGCCATTTCTATTTGTACTGCCTGGTACAAAATCCAGTGAATGTATTAATCCCTCTATATCAGAACTAAGCTGATTGCTAGCTAGGATTTAAGAAGATATTGCCTTTGTAGAAGATATGTGCTGACAGTATATATCATCAGAATCCATGTATAAGGCATTTGTCATGGACTATGTGCTTCCAAGGTTATACAATTTTTCCCATTTCCCATTTCCCAAACATAGCCACACTTGGCATATAGGATAATATCTTCTGTCAAATTTCTAAGTGGAAATGCTCAGGTAGTCTTCCTGAAAAGCATACTTCATGTATGGAATTCAAATTTAAAAGTTCTGAGAACTGAAGGTTTTTTAGGGAACTTTGAAGGTTTCCATGGGGAATGCTTTGGGGGTAAGATTGTCTCCATTTCGGGAATACAGTATGTTACCAGTGTTTGAGGATGGGTACTCTAGGTCAGGTATGAATTTAGTCAGAGACAGGGTGTCCTTCAGCTGAGGTAAGGAATTTACTATACATTTATCCTTATGACCATAAAAAAACACTTCTCCACTATGAGGGTCATTGAACACTGGAACAGGTTGCCCAGAGAGGTTGTGGAGTTTCCAACCTTAGAGATGTTTAAAACTCAACTGGACACAGCCCTGGGCAGCCTGCTTTAGCTGACCTTGCTTGAGTAGAGGGATTGGACCAGATGATCTCCAGAGGTACTCCCAACCCCAACTAGTCTGTGATTCTGTGATTTGATACTTTTGAGAATTTTATTGCACCATTACCCAATGGGTAAGTAGCTAATGAGATATGGAGGACACAGGGAAAGGATGAGAAGGTAAATCTAGAAGTAGGGCCTATGAACCACAGTATTTCTGTCACATAATAAATGAGCTGGCAGAGGTGGAAGTTCTGTTACCAGTTCACAAATGGGGGTTGACAGTGGCTCCCCAGTGGCTCTCTATGGGATCATGGATCCTAACCTTTATTTTCGCTTGGGGTCTGTCTTTAGGTAATGTTGCGCTGATGATCTCAGTAGCTCCTTCTAGCTTTCTTAATCCTGCCAGCAGAGAACCAAATTATTTTGAAATAATACAGTAATTACACTAGTCATACAACACAAAACCAGGAGGGTAGACAAACTACTGAAAAGCCTTTTCCTGTCTGTGCCATACAATATGTCTTTCTTTTAGTGTAACGACTTGTGATGAGAGATAGAAGTGCAACATTTTTCACGAAATTACTACATTAGAAATTTGAAATCAAAGATATCTATTTTTGACTAAGCAATTAACTGTGATGTGGGTTCTTTCAGGCTATTTACATTGGAAGGATAAACTGATGGTATAGGAAATTATTTGCCATCCTCTTCAGTTACACTGAATTTGCAAAATTAGGTTTTCCTGAGGGCAGAATCTATCAATAGAATATTTTCACATGGCTTCAAGTTTCTCCCAGCCAGCAATTCATTCAGTTGCTTGTTTTTAGCTTTTTCTCAGGATCGTGATTTTGCAGCTCTGATGAATTCTTATTATATCCTTTAATTTTTTTTTCCTATTTTAAACCTGTGTTAGAGAAAGTCCCCTCCTTCAATACAGGTGTTTGCTTTTGTGACGATATTCTTTGAAAAGATCAGTATTGAAGAAAACTACTGAAGCAGTAATACTCTAAGTGACTCTTACAGGTTTTGAAAATGCTATATTTTTTTAAATATGTAAGCGTAATTGAAGCTTATATTATTCATATCAGATTTTCTTCAATATTTGCCTTTTGTAAACCAAAGCAACACAATTAGTAGTATCATCAGTAAGAGCTTTGTGTAATACAATGGTTAAAAGGCTGAATTTTGTCTATGATACCACTTCTGCTGTCACTATAATTAGTTTTGGATTAACCTAAGTGCCTACTCGTTTCATATTTTAAAGCTACAGCAATAAATGACAGTTCCGGTTCTTTAAACCTGATATTTCTACTCTGTCATTAATTATTCCTGCTAATGGGAAGCTCTAGAGCACACATGCAATAAGTATCACAGAAGAGAGTACATTAGTCAAATCCTTTATGTGGAGAATCTTGACAGTCCAAGTCTGTTGCCTAATTTTAACTTGAGTGTAGAGTCGTCTGCAATATGGCATGATAACGCTGGACATAAGAGGCACCATGGCAGTATGTCAGGTCAGGATGAACAGTGGCAGCTCCTTGATCGAGCTGCCCAAAGTCTGCATGGCTAAAGTGTTTGCATGCCAGAATGGATATTCATAATGGGATATGAAAGGTGGAATCCCCTAAACTTACTCTGTTTGCTGTATCCCCACTGTGTTTGCTGCTACTAAGTTGTTTATTTCGATGTGGAACAACAAATGTGAAAGCTTGTAGCCCAATACAGTATTGCTTATGACTGCCTCAGGTACAGCTATTTATAGGCCAGACTATTGAATGTGTTCACAATATGGATTGCCTTGTTAAGACAGCTCAGCTTTTATATACCTTTCTAAGGAAGAAGACCAAATTTTCAGAAGTGATTGACTTACAGCAACTCATGTTCTTGTGAGGCAAAGGAAATGAAGGGTGCTGACTTCTGCCAAGTGCGTTAAAGAAAAAAGGGGAGAAACAGTTGAATTTGGAAGTAAATATAAGCTGAACTTTTCTCAAAATGCAGCAGATTCTGTCCTGTGAGTGAGAAGAAGCTGGGATGAGGGTTTAATAGGGTCATATGAATTGTTAATACCTAGATTAATGACTATAAGAATTCTTTCCAAAATCCAGCTTTTGACTGTGTTGCCCAAAAGCTGGCAGTGCTGTGTCTTCCCCTTTTCCAGTTCCATAAGTAGTTTTAACTCTGCAAGTTTCTTGTACGTTTTCTATTGCTGAGTAAAATGGTAGCTATTGAAATTATTTATCGATTAAGTTAACACGAATACACCCTAAAAAAGTAGAATTAAAGCTTTTATTGTTTTATACAAATATAGAGTGTATATTTAGCTTAGGTCAAACTTATAAATGAGATGCTAAGGAGCATTTTCTTGGACATATCATTGAAGTTTATTTTTGATTTTTAGCTAGATCCCTTTTACTGTTGGGATGCCGTGACTGAACTATAAAAGTGAATACATGAGCAAAATATCTGTGGTTCACTTTTCTCCAGATATCATCCTTTATCAAAATGAATGCTCACTTTAGTTTTTAGTCAATCTAGTGCAAGAAAAGCCTAACCTGGAAGAGCACTTAACTCTTTCTTTTGTCCTTAGCTCTCATATTATTCTGCATAAAGTGCAATCTGCAGAAATACAACATTTCACTAAATACAAATCTTAAAGTATTAATATCTAATATTTACTGGTACAATAAATAAAATATTTATATTTATATTTTAAAATTTAGGAAGCTAAAATATTTTTGTAGCTCTTTAAATTTTATTACAATTTCCAAATTTGCTCATACGGTATAGTAATAAGAATGATTTGCAAACAGATGGTATAGAAATATTCTTTCTATTATGGTAACTTTTCAAATATTTTGTATGTTTTGCATGCTGATTGTTTTTTTTACCTTTTCTCTCAACTTAGAATTAAATAAGATTGAATTCAGCTAGACATTCAGTAGCTAGAACCTTCCTTAAATTAGAAAAACTTGAAACCTGGCTGTCTGTGTATGAGGGAGGTTTTGCATATGCAAATACTCCCACAGTTGGTTCTGTTGATAATGCATGAAAAATATATTCGGGTATTTGCAAATGCAAAATTACATGCATGCACTACAAAACTCAGTCGTACTTCACCATGAAAATCAAGACCTAAGATTTGTCCTTAGAGTGCTAGTGGATGTCTGTACCATGCTAGATAATTTCTACATCCACACTACTTGAACATACTGTCACACATCCCAGAAAATTTTTCACAGGCAACCCACAGACTTGTATGTATGTGAGCTGCCTGTGAAGCAGTCAAAGGAAGAAAGGCAAAAGTAAAGCAGGACATGCTCTGCTTATGAACATGATGAAACCTGAATGGAATATTTATGTTCTTAACGGGCTGGTCTTAATTTCCGTGCCCTCCTCTTCCGTATCCTACTCAACAGGCTGCATCTCTCTCTGTTAGCTGAAGTCTATGACAGTAACAGCAGAAATCCCTACCAGGCTTGCCCCTTGCTTCTTGCTGTGTCGTGGTAGCGGTTTCAGCTGCGGCCGGAGTCCTAGCAGAAACAAATGTGCAGTGCATCGTCCGCCGTGACAATCCTCATCAGCATGTGTCGCCAGGGGAGAGTATCTTGAAGACTGAACCCAAAACTAAATCACTGGTATCTGCAAGTGGGTTGTGTTCTCTTCTGGGGGTGGTTCTTTTAACTTGGGTGTGTTATTGGCCTTTTCAAAACTGTAACACATATTACAGAAAGAAAGCACATGAGTTTTAATTTTGAGAGTACAATCAGCACATGTAGCCAGACTAATTTGTTTGTGTAATAACTTGTGGGTATTTTTGTTTTAGATACCTTCGAGAGAGGGATTTATAAACTTTCAATATCTGAGCAGGATTTGGGGAGCTGTGATCTCACATGTGCAGTAGGTTTTCATTTCATAAGTAAAACTAAGATGATTACGTGCTACAAATAGAAGAACAGTTAGGGTGCACTCAGTTTCCAGGCAAACCTAAATGAATAACTGCACCAATACAAAACATGAAGCTACTCCAAACAGTGACTCATACCTCCCACTTCAGCGCTTGGTAATATCTTGAAGTGAGCACTGGGTTTCTGATGCTTCACTGATGCTTGATCCTGGCAGTCATGCACTGTTATGAACTGAAATTGAAAAGGCAAATCCATGGTGCAGTTCATGATTTCTTTGTATTTTTAATCTCAGGCTTTGGAACTCTTTACACAGTGAAACAAAGGCTTACAGGGAGCGGCACAAAGTAGAGGAAACAATATGCACACAAAAAGGGGTTAATTGCCGTTGTTAATCCTGGAGCCACTGTGGTGGTAACTCAGTATCCGTTGGATGGAATAAAATGAAAAGATGAACATGTTTGCAATTTATTGTTTCACAATGTTATTTTCATTTCTTTGTGGATCACTGTACAAAAGGAAAATAAGCTGGGGATGTAGGGCAGTAGGACAGGACAGATAACACAATCCTGTGCACTCAAGTACGCCATTCTCTGTATAACACTCCCCCCGCCATCCCGTCCCCCCATAAATACATTAACATTGCAGAACCAGCTGAAACCTTCCTATTATCTCTTTTGGAACACCTTCATTACATATGCTTTTTTCCTTTTCCATAAAATAAGGCAGTGCAAGTTGACAGCATCCATGAAGTGCTGAATGAGCAAAAGGCAAATGTAAAAGGGCCATACTGTTTTTACCTTTTACTGGAATCTCCTGGATTTATATTCAGGTTCAAAAAAAATCTGATTAGTATGCAAACTGATACTGATTAGTATACAACACAGATAATTGAACTGTGAAAAGTAGTCAATCTGATTTTACCACAGACCTAAATGAAAGCTTACACTAGCACTGAGAGCTTTCAAAATCTCACCCAAAGTTGTCTCTTTTATTAAATGAGCATTACTTTTCCTTTTTTTTCCCCTCCATTCTGGCCTAATTGTTAAGAAAATAGGTACAAATATTTTAAAGTAGAGAATTATAAATACTAAGATTGATAGGCAGTATCGGATATCATGGGAAAGGATAGTAATGTTAAGAACACAATAGGGTGCAGGTACACACGGTTAACTCCTGGGAGTAAGGTCAATGCATATCATTACTGGGCATGCCAGGCCAGTATAAGTATTTTTAGGGTTTAGTTGCTGTATCTGTGGCCATGCTTTTGAGAAAAAATACGTCTTGATGTTAACAGCAGTGTCTGATAAGGATCATGAACATTAGGAAGTGAAACATTAGGAGACTGTGTCAAAGCAATGCTATATCAAGTTACATTCATTTTTATTCACAGCGATCACTCAGCTCAGTACTTTTATTTGGTCTGTGATGTTGTTGTTGTTGTTGCAATGCAAATTTTGGAGATCTTCATTCAGACTAAAAAGAATTAAAATAACTCTAAGGCTTAAAAAGTCTCCTCGCATCTTTCCCTTGTACTCTCTTCCTCATCTTAAATGACAGGCACAAGATTAGTGGCTTATGTAGTATGTCCAAAAGATTAATATTTCCAGGTGAGTTTAGGGAACTGTTTCATTTGGTCAGCCAATTGAATTTCTCATTGCACTGTGAAAAAAAGAAAAAAAATCTAGTTGCTCTAAAAGGTGCAAGTATTGAGATTTCAGATAGGTCTAATGCCACTGGTCTTCCTTTTAACAATAGCAACAGACAACAATTTCAGATAGAAAATTTCTGAGACAAAGAAATGTTTTGTTTGCTATAGTAAAGCAATTGACTCCAACATCCACTTCAAAAGCAATAATTTAACTCCAGGTTCAGGAATTACATATTCTCAATGTTTCTTTGTAACCTTCTGTTTTCAGAAAATCTGTGGTAAAGATGAATTACAGAACTTAACAAAATGCGTGCCATCTGAAAATACATGCTTATATCAGGAATATGTTCATACATAAGCATACATGCACAAATACATAGAATGTGAAAGAAAAACACAGAACATTGGGCAGAGATTAGCAACCTGGCTGTATATTTTAATCTTAGAGGAGGTCTGTTTTTATTTCATGACAAAGCTACACAGGAAACATTATGACTTTCAGTGAGATTCTGTGCAAAAATAAGGATTCCAGACCTCTTATAGGAATCCGATATAACCCCTCAAAACTTTCAAGGCAGAGAATGGCCTGCAATTATTATCTTGTCTAGCTCTATATAGTTAATTGCAGTAGAGATTAGTTTCTGAAGCCTTTTTACAAATATTTGTTTTGCATGTATGTGTGGTTTGCTGAAAATTATCACATGTTCTGAAGAAATAAACTGCAAATCTCATGTGCCCATGCATTTCTAAAGAAAGGAATTAAGTCGGAATATGTGAATTCTTGGTTCCTACAATACCTCGGTCAAAATGACACATTTTATTCACAGATAATACAAATCTAGTAGCTCTTCTACAAAACTAAAGAAAATAGAGAATGCCACTGGGAAGCAGGGAAGAATGTGGATCTAGGCAATGTAGGAGCTTGGTGAAAGGCCAATTTGAGAGCTATACTAGCATTGAGTATTAATATGCAGGGTAATTTCTTTCCTTTTTTTAAATTAAATTGGAAAATATTTTATATGGTCTTTTTTTCCACTACTTTTGGTGTTGAGACTGGACTTAAATGAGTTTCAAAATAACCACTTTATTTCTTAAATTGATTTTTAGTAACCTATAACAATTTTGTTAGTGATTCAAGATGTATGCAAGTTAACATCCTTAATTATATGAAATACACCCTACACCATGCACCTTTGCAGCAGGATATAAAGTGTATCTGCATGCAAGACCAGACCTAAATCTACAGAAGTAAACAGCAAAAGTCTAATAAATTACTGTGAGAGGAATGATGTTTTATGTTTAGAGAAAGGTTTTCTGCTATCACTCCTAAGATTTTGGTTGTTATATGTAAAAAGAATGGTGGCTTTAAAGAGAGTTTTGGGGATAGAGGGAGCGGGGATTGTGGGGCCAAAATAGAGCTCTCCTCATGTTGAAAAATATACTTTTTGTTCAAAAAAGCACGAATATGATGTATTAGTAACAATAACAGAATTAATGAACATTTATGTAGCTAGCAAGGCTATTCGGCTTTGTAGTGATTTCCATTACTAACAAAATCACTCTAAGAGGAAAGATAAAACATCATGTATTAAGGCTTAAGCTATTCCTGAATTAGGAAGAGAAATCCATTTTAGGAAGAGAATTATGTTGGGTTGGTAACAGAATAAAGGGAAAACAATCTTATATCTGACTAGTTTGAGCTTACGCCTTCTTTGGAAGCATATGGGGCAGCTGAAGACAGAAAACTAGAGTAGATGAACCATCAGTCTGACAAGATATTGCATTTCCTCTATCTCTACCAACTATTTTTATATTTTTATCTGTAGAAATGCCAAAGAAACTTGAATGAAACTACACAGTATATCATTCATTTTGAGGTTTGTTGGTATTTCAAGTTATTATATGTCCTGCTTTTGCAATAAGCTACTACGCTGTTGTAGTTTGGTCGTCAATATAAATTGAATCCACCAGACAATTGCATGCATTGGCAACAACAGAGAATTAGAGCCCAGAACCTAAACCTACTTACACAGAAATACAGGATTTGGAATATCATTTGTAAACCACCGCCATGACAATATTCTCTCCTGTGACAAATTTCAATAGAATCATCACCTCTTCTGCTGTCATTTTTTCAAGCTTGAACAGTTAAAAAAATCATAGATTTTAGGTTAGGGAGTGTCAAAGGGCATTTTCCTTTATAACACTATTATGTTGCTTTATAATACTAACATGGTGATAGTGATAGAGAAAATGAAATATTTAGTTATTACCTGAAAAATATGAGCTAACTCTGTGACAGTCCATCATATGTTTTACAATGACTGTGTTACAAAGATAAAACTTGTCAGAACCCTCATATGTAATATTTAGGATACACAGTTCTACATAGCTGGCAATGAAAAAAAAATACTGTATCTCAGAGGAAATGCTTGACAAATATTATTAGATAATAAAAGACAATACAATCCCAAAGTGTATTTGGAGCTTGAAAAAATGCTCTTCTACAGAGTCTCCAATTTAGATAATCATAGAACATGAAGATTATAGGCAAAAAAAAGTATACAGAAAGGAGAATTAAACTGCTGAAAGTAGTTGAAAATCCTCACGACTTGATTGCTTTGTTTGTTGCAAAGGAGAGTTGCTGATAAAGTGAGGTGGGACCATGATGAAAGCTTAGATCACTGTAAAGAGAAGGATGGTGAAGTACAGAGGAGAGATTTCGGGACAAAGAGTGAGGATAAAATCAAACACATTTCTGAGAGGCATAATAGTGGGAACTGGTGGGATTGCATCTGGGAACACAAAGATCCATTCCTAGCTTTTCCCCTGACTCCTGTGAACTGTGGACTTCATTTTTCAGGACTCTGTGCAATCCACAAAGTAATTCCTCTCTGAACCGTTGTCAGCCTAAATGAAAGCCTCCAGCATGTGAGAATATTCTTGATGTCAGATCTGCCCTTGAAGCTTTTGACAATATAGTTCAGGATATGAAAAATGCACCTACCCCTTAATGACTACTGCTACACCAACAAATCCCTACTGTGGAAAAAAGAGGGCTAGCCTACCTGTCAA